TGCCGGCTTCGGCTGCTGCCCCTTCTGCGGCGATTACGAGTGCAGCAACCACTGCCAGAGCGTCGGACGTGCAGGAGGCTACTGCGGCAATTGGCACAGATTCACCTGCATCTGCTACAGGAGAAAGAAATGAATGCTTTTGCTTGCGTCACGGATCCGGAACCCAAGACCATGGAAAGACTGTCGCAAGAATCTGTTTCACTGCTTTTTCATTCCACCGACGTCGTCTCGTCGTGTTTGTCGCGCTTTTAACGACATACTCATGACATTTGGAGAAAAGAAATTCCTTCTCTATTTCACTCCAATTTGAGGCTTCATTTGACCGAAAATGATGGCTCGGGCGAAGAGTAATTCAATTTCGAACGGGTGTCTTTCCAATAAAGTTCTTTCCTGCACGACATGTCTTGGAATGATCGTTGTTCCAAAGAAACTCATTTTTCTGGACAGTTGCAGGTTCACATCCGAACCCAGCAACCGGTTCCGGCAGATTCCACCGTCCGTACACAGGCCAATATATATAAAAATTGATTTCGCCGTCTCGTTCTTTGCGGCTCCAATAATTCAGCCACACGAGGTAAATCGGGAATCTCAGGTCGAAAGGTCTTTTTCTTTTCTTTCCATGCTAATTGATGAATTTTCTAGTATTTTCCCGCTTCGCCAATAAATAGTCTCCCTCCTTGCGCGAGGTTGAAGAAGAAGATTTAAAATAAAATTTTTGCATTACTATTATAGGGACTCCTAATTCCAAGTTTCATTCTAGCCACTAGAGGGTGGAAACAATTTTTGCATTCCTCACGGTATACACGAGTGCCTTTCCATTGATCCATGGAATCGTCACTCACAGGAGCGTTTTGTACTTTCCCATCAGTCTCGCCTTGTCGAATTACAGCAATCGATGAATTTATGCTTTGCCTTATTGGTTATTCCCATATTCCAGACAGAATCACGGAGTCCAGGCCACGAACGGGCTTATATTCCCTATACTATTCTCTGTTTATTGAGCACTCATGAGCGCCAAAAGCACCTTCTTGATGGTCTACTCCTCGAAAATACTCAGGAGTGCCGATATTATCATGAAAGTTTCCCGGATTTCGAGGGGGCGCCGCCGTTTGGCAGGCCAGAATTTCCTATTTCCTAAAGGCCATTTATGGCGTTTTTCACTTCGGTGTGGAGTGCCGGCATGCGTTGTCCATGATGATCACGTGTTTTTCTTCAAAGGCATGACGATTTGGGACTTCGGGTCTTTTCAAACATGTTCTCGAAGGGGCTCAATGTAATGATGTAATATCATTGAATTAGTCATGACGTGATCGCCATCACTTGGAGCCTGGAGTACTTGGAGGTGGAGCCAAAGTGGTCGTAGACCCTTTCGCCGACTCGACTGAAATGAGTCCCCTGTCCCTTTCGCACAGTTCTCTTTGGTGTCTTGCATAGATCTCAGAGGAAGACAATTGCATTCCGTGAATCACTTCTCGGAAGATATAACCTAGCCCTGGAATGAACCTGGAATTTCCGTCCCAGAGGTTCGAGGGAGGATCCCACTCTCCAGCGGCGAAGCTTTAATTTCTAGCAGAAGGCATTGAAAAGCGCCGTTATACGCTTGGTTCTCAGCTCTTTTGGCGACAGGAGTGAACTTGTGTAAGGCAATGCTGTTTCATTTCTCCTAGATGAAGGAGTAGTAGCCCAAGAAACACACTGTCTTTGTGAAACGTTTTCCAAATATTGCCTATGCTGTTCAACATCGATGGAACATTGCTTCAATGTCTTCACTTGGAATGTTGCTGGGACGTTTCTACGAATGTCATTGGAACATTTGCTATCGATGTTGAGAAAATGTTGACAATCTTGACATTGACAACGTAGCAACATCTTTCCGATACAACATGGACTTACAAGTTTTCCGGACTTGTACGGTTGTCCTCTTTGCTACGAGAGGGAGGCGTAGGTCTCCCTTTTCTCTCAGTACACAGTAAAAAAAATGCTCATATTCCCAACTGATCCCTTTCCAAGATCCCATCGATTGCATTCAAAAGATGAGAGGTGCGAGTCGTCGCTCTCTCGGAACTTGAGGATAGGGAGGGTTTTTAAGCATTTTTGGCGCAATTTCTTCGGCATATTTCAGTTTTAATTTAAAAAAAACCTCACTTCACGAAGATAACATACCGTAGGTCCTATCCCATCGATGGAAATAACTCCGCTCCATCAAGCACTTGCGCAGGAACAGGAATGTCCTAATCAAGGAAAATATCGATGAGTAAGACTTGTGACGCTTCCGAGGAAATTCGAGGAATCCATCCAAGAAAGAGGGAGAGGAAACGGATCGGGATCGTGATGATGATACAAGATGTGAAGGAAGCGACATCGAAAACATTTACATTTCTGCGACCGGATAAAAAGGACGTGTGCAGACTCCAGTCAGATCGTTCGTCTCTCGACTGTGCACTGTCGATTGCGTGGAGATCTCCTTGGATTCACATCGATCGGCACGGTGAAAATTTTCCTCCTAAAAACTCTTCGTGTAGCTAATGCGAATAGGGGATTTCGCGTGTAAGAAAGTGTATTTCTTAGTTATTCCGACCTGCAATTATTGCCTTCTGCAGATTTGAGTTCGTCGAGGGAAGTGAGAGCTAGAAGAGAAGGATGAAGCCAATCCTGCTGCTGATCTTCGCCGTCGTCGTATTTGCGGCAGTCGGTGAGTTCATTTCCTTTAGTGTGTGTTATCGATGGAACGAGTCACCCGAATTCGTCTCGTGAGGCATTTTAATTTCGAGAAGGCTGGAAAAATGCAGTCTCGAACCAGCGAACAATTTTAATCATTTGAACAAGCCGACCTGTGGAAGACTTCCAGGAATTCTTTGGCAAGGAATCCCGAGTTCATTTGGCGGGCCGAAAACTCAGCGGCCCTCTCATCGCTATCGGCCCCTCTTTCCCATTCGTTACGTGTCAATGGCAATATTGGCAATATTAGGGGAGCCAATATTTAGCCTAAATTGGCAAGGTGGAGCCAACGTAACCAATGTTGGTCCAGCATTGTGCCAATATCTGGTGCTGCTGGGGACCGGACCGATTCCTTTGCCGCCGATATCGATGCAATACCATAGTGATAATGGGGCACGAGACGGTTCTCGAGGGAGGAAGCGTTTTTTTATTCGCATGAGAAAAGCCAAGCGATCGGGCACAAACTCGGAGCGTGCATGATCCTTCCGGTTTTTCCATACTGGATCAAACCGGGAAATGATCTTCCTAATTTTTTTTAAATTACGAAGGAGCAAATTGGATGGAACGAAGTGGGATTTTCGATGTCATGAGGAAGGTCATGAACACCCTCTCATGATACATGAAAAAACCCACACGTCTCTCGTCCCAAGTGAAACGACTCGGAAACTCGGGCCGTGTCCACTGTCGAAATGCGCAAAAAAGAAACAGCGATCGCCAGGACAATTCCAAATCGCCAGGTTCCATCTGGTTCCATCTGGAAGACGGGGATGACAAATGAGGTATCGTCCAAGTTTATTGATTGCTAAATGAGGCAAGGCGAGACGTATTGGTATATGCAAAATCTTCATGCAAGGGAGATGATTCCATGAGTAAAGGGCACTTCCGTGCACTTTGAGAAATTCGAGAATCTCCTACTTCCATCTACTGGCCTAGGGGAGAACTTCAAACCGAACCCTATGGGCCTATAGGGTTCCGTATGGGCCCTATATGGAACCCTAGAGGTCCTATGGGTTCTAAAGGGATACCTAAAAACCCTATAGGTTCCATAGGGAACCAAATGGGTCCCAAACATAACCCCATGTGGCATATATGGTTCCCAATAGGCCCGATGGGAACTTATAAGATTCTTATATGTTCCTGTAGGGAACCATTAGGAATATATAGGATTCCTATATGGCATTTTCGTAAGGGAAGAGAGCGACGAGACGCTCCTCGAATCGAAAAGGATGCCAAAGACATGAGAGACGAAGATGCAAGAAGAAAATAAAGAAAGTTAATACTGCCGAGCCGATATGAGGAAACCATTCCCGGAACAGTTCCGGTTTCTTGGAACCCCTTCCGGGTTCGTGTCCTTGAACCTCGATGGAAAGCGGTTCGCAGCGCAAATGCTTACGCCGTTCCGTTCCGGGAAAAGAGTCCGCAGCATTTCCGGGTCTCGCGCGCTCGATCGCTTCGTCTCGAATGATGCAAAATGTCTCGAGTGGAACAATGGTTTCCTTGCCCTGAGGAACGCGAACCCTTCGTGTTCGCTGAGATATTCCAAAATATGAGATGGACGGTAATCTCTCGCCGGAGTGCCATGCCTAAAAGCTACAATTTAATCATACATTTTTTAGCAGTAAAATTCAGCCATCTCGCGTAATCCTCTCTGAGAGTATCAGCAGGAAAGAAATTCTGCGTACTTCTTCCTCACTCATCAAAGAATCGCCTCAGAAAATTCGAAGCTCCATCTCCTGCTCTTGTGGAGAACACTGCATCTCGTCTATGGAATATGTGAGTTTAAGTCCTTTTTTTTTTCCTACCACTCCTCCCCTTCAGATTTTTGCGCAATATCTTCGGAATATTACAGTTTTTCATAAAATCTCACTTACAGCAATATCTTCAAGAAAGAAAATATTGATGTGTAAGACTAAGGGAGGGGGGGGGGTTGAAAAAAAAAGGAATCAAATTCACATACTCTAAAATCGAATTTCAGTATTCTCCACAATACCAGGAGATGGAGCTTCGAATTTGCTGGAGCGATTCTTTGGTGAGAGCGGAAGAAGTATGACAAATTTCTTTCCTGCTGATTCAGAGAGGATTAAGCGAATTGGTTGAATTTTCCTGTTAAAAGGAGTTGAAAAAAGGCATCAAGGGCTGATTGAGCAGGAAAAAATGATTTGCTCCTTGGAATTATGACGATTTAGGAAGAGCAAGAAAATGGCGCACGACCCAGGAGACATGAAAACTGTTTCCCAATGAGTGTATGCATTATAGGCATTATTAAATTGTGTCTTTTCGGCATGGCACTCCCGCATGAGATAACCGTCCATCTCATCTTTGGGGAAAATCTCAGCGAACAGGAAAGGTTCGCGTTTCTCAGGGCGAGGATGCGATTGTTCCACCACGGAAAATTCGCATCACTCCGTCCTTCGAGACGAAGCGATCGAGCGCGCGAGTCCCGGAAATGCTGCGGGCTCTTTTCCCGGAAAGGATCGGCGTAAGCATTTGAGCGGCGAATTGCTTTCCATCGAAGTTCATGGACACAAACCCAAAAAGGGGTTCCAAGAAACCTAGTCCTCTTCCGGGAACGATTTCCTCATCTCGGCTTTAAAGAATTGCCTTTCCTTGTTTTCCATTTGCATCTTCGTCTCTCATGTCTTCCGCATCCTTTTCGATTGGAGGAGGGTGTCGACGCTCTCTCGGAACCTTAGGAAAGGGGCCGTTTCAGATTTTTTGCGCAATTACTTCGGCATGTTACTGTTTTGCATAAAATTTGACTTCCTAAAAAGAGCATACGGTAGGTCCTATTCCTTGAAGAGAAATAACTTCGCTCCATCAGGCACTTGCTCAGGAACAGCAATGTCCTAATCAAAGAAAATATTGATGAGTAAGACTTGCGACGCTTCCGAGGAAATTCCAGGAATCGTTCCAGGAAAGAGGGAGAGGAAACGGATCGAGATCGTGATGATGATACCCGATGTGATGGACGCGATATCAAAACATTTACCTTTCCCGGGCCGGATAAAAAGGACGTGTCCAGACTCCAGTCCGATCGTTCGTCTCTCGACTGTGCACTATCGATTGCGCGGAGATCTGCTTGGATTCACATCGCACGATGAAAAATTTCCCCTATAATCTCTTCGTGTGGTTATTGCGAATAGGGGATTTCGCGTGTAAGAAAGTGTCTCTCTTAGTTATTCGGACCTGCTGTTATTGCCTTCTCCAGATTTGAGTTGGTCGAGGGAAGTGAGATCGAGGAGAGAAGAAGGATGAAACCAATCCTGCTGATGATCTTCGCCGTCGTCGTATTTGCGGCAATCGGTGAGTCCATTTCCTTAAGCGTGTGTTATCGATGGAACGCGTCACCCGAATTCGTATCGTGAGGAATTTCAAATTCGAGAAAGCAAGAAGAAATGCAGTCTCGAACCTATGTTCCATCGACTGGAATTTCCAATCGGTTTCTTCCCGTTTCCTCTCCGCAAAGAACACAAAACATTTCCTCGATGTCATTGGCCGCCATTCAAGCAATTGAGGCGTCTCTGTCACAGTTCACGAGCAGATTCCGTCTGGGTGATTAACCCATAAATTAAACCTCTAAGAATGAGTTCAATTCCTACACTGTTCGGAGTTTTTGCAGCTCGTCGATTCCTGGATTCCTTTGAGCTGTGGCAACTCCGATATATTAATATATTGCACACGCGTCGCTCCACACATTCCAATGAGAATAACATTCAAAGGAATATTATGTCTCCACAGCGCGAGTGGACGCCGGCTTCGGCTGCTGCCCCGTCTGCGGCGATTACGAGTGCAGCAACCACTGCCAGAGCGTCGGACGTGCAGGAGGCTACTGCGGCGGATGGCACAGATTCACCTGCATCTGCTACAGGACAAAGAAATGAATGCTTTTGCTTACATCACGGATCCTGAACCTAAGACCATGGAAAGACTGTCGCAAGAATCTGTTTCACTGTTTTTTCATTCCACCGAAGTCGTCTCGTCGTGTTTGTCGCGCTTTTAACGACATACTCCTGACATTTGGAGAAAAAAATTTCCTTCTCTATTTCACTCCAATTTGAGGCTTCATTTGACCGAAATGGATGGCTCGGGGGAAGAGTCATTCCCATTCGATCGGGTGTCTTTCCAATAAAAGTCTTTCCTGCACGTCATGTCTTGGTATGATCGTTGTTCCAAAGAAATTCATTTTTCTGGACAGATGCAGGTTCACGTCCGGAACCAGCAACCGGTTCCAGCAGATTCCACCGTACACAGGTCAATATATATCAAAATAATTTTTGCCGTCTCGTTCTTTGCGGCTCCAATAACTCAGCCACATGAGGGAAATCGGGAATCTCAAGTCGAATGGTCTTTTTCTTTTCTTTCCATGCTAATTGATGATTTCTTCACATTTGATGCGATCATGTATTCATGGCATTTGAGAGGACGGTGATCTCACTCCATATCTGTATGATTCCCTACTCCATGTATATGGTAGGCCGGGAAGTTCTTGTAGTTTTCGCCTTTTCCTTTGAAGGATGCCTAAGGAATTTTCTAGTATTTTCCCGCTTCGCCAAGAAATAGTCTCCCATCTTGCGTGAGGTTGAAGAAGAAGATTTAAAACAAAATTTTTACATTACTATTATAGGGTTCCCCAATTCCAAGTTTTATTCTTGGCAATAGACGATGACCACATTTTTGCATTCCTCACGGAACACGAGTGCCTTTCCCTCGATCCATGGAATCATCACTCACAGGAGCGTTTTGTACTTTCCCATCAGTCTCGCCTTGTCGAATTACAGCAATCGATGAAGTTAGGCGTTGCCTTATTTGTTATTCCCACATTCCAGACAGAATCACGGAGTCCAGGCCACGAACGGGCTTATATTCCCTATACTATTCTCTGTTTATTGAGCACTCATAAGCGCCAAAAGCACCTTCTTGATGGTCTACTCCTCGAAAATACTTAGGAGTGCCGATATTATCATGGCAGTTTCCCGGATTTCGAGGGGTCGCCGCCGATCGACAGGCCAGAATTTCATATTTCCTAATCGGCATTTATGGAGTTTTTCACTTCGGTGTGGAGTGCCGACATGCGTTGTCCATGATGATCGCGTGTTTTTCTCCAAAGGCATGACGATTTGGGACTTTTCAAACACGTTCTCGAAGGGGCTCAATGTAATGATGTAATATCATTGAATTAGTCATGACGTGATCGCCATCACTTGGAGCCTGGAGCACTTGGAGGTGGAGCCAAAGTGGAGGTTGTCCCTTTCGCCGACTCGACTGAAATGAGTCCCGTGTCTCTTTCGCACAGTTCTCTTTGGTGTCTGGCATAGATCTCAGAGGAAGACAATTGCATTCCGTGAATCACTTCTCGGAAGATATAACCTAGCCCTGGAATAAACCAGGAAATTCCAGCCCAGAGGTTCGAGGTAGGATCCTACTCTCCACGGCGAAGCTTTAATTTCCAGCAGAAGGCATTGAAAATCTTGTCATAAGCAGGGCGTGCCTGGCCTCCTGAGAGAGGATAAGCATCCTTCCATTCCTATGTGATTCCGTTCCTGGATGCCTCTGCCTCTGGAAAGAATGATGCTTGGTTCGCAGCTCTTCGCGACAGGAGTGTACTTGTGTAAGGTACTGCTCCTTCATTTCTCTTAAATGAAGGAGTAGTAGCCCGAGAAACACACTCTCTCCAAATATTGCCAATGTTGCTCCAGGTTGCACAACATCGATGAAGCATTGCTTCGATGTTTTCACTTGGAATGTTGCTGCGACATTTCTACGAATGCGATTACGAACATTTGCTATCGATATTGAGAAAATTTTGTCACCTTTGACATCGACAACGTAGCAACAAGGGATGGTCGAGCTTTCTCGGTGCAGTTCAGGGCCATTGAACCCTACGCATTTCCGTAATTCCTTTATAGGCCCAGATTAGGGAGAGACCTGGAAAGCTGAAAATGAGTATGAATGTGCCTAATGTCATGCTAACGAAGTAAAGTAAAAACCAATTTTCAATGCGTCAGACTCAGCATGCGAGAAAACTGATTCCCAGTGAGAGCATGCATCATAGGTATTCTTATACTGCGCCGTTGGGAATGGCACTCCCGCGAGAGATTTCCGTCCATCTGATCCTTGGGAAAATCTCAGCGAACACGAAGGGTTCGAGTTTCTCAGGGCGAGGAAGCGCTTGTTCCACCCCGGAAATTTACATCACTCCGTCGTTCGAGACGAAGCGATCGAGCGCGCGAGACCCGGAAATGCTGCGGGCTCTTTTCCCGGAACGGATGGGGGTAAGCATTTGCGCTGCGAACCGCCTTCTGTCGAAGTTCATGGACACGAACCCGAAAGGGGTTCCAAGAAACCCCGTCCTGTTCCGGGAATGATTTTTCATCTCGACTCGGCAGTACAGTGGTACCTCGCATAACGAACGCAATTCGTTCCAGCGGTGCGTTCGTTATNCGTTGGGTCATTGGTGAAGAGAAGGGCACGAGTTGACGCGTGGTACGCTTGCAGATGTGAATGGGTTCTATTTATTTTTCTGGCAGTGAAACAGTATAAGATGTTCCATTAACATTCAATATGACATTTTGATGTAAGGTGGCTATGTCTAATCCACTTAAGGACGATTAGGCCAATGTTCACACTTCAACAAAACGGGAAGGTATACGGGCTGGATATACGGTTTATACGGTTTTTTCATAGACAACTGTATGGAACCATTAGAAGAGTTTTAAAAAGGTACTGCCATAGAGTCCTTTCGCCAGAATATAAAATTAACGACAAAGTTCCCTACAGTCGAATTGGAATTATCGCCTTGAAATTCAGACGTAATGAGCTTATGTGTCTGCTTCCTAGCCCCTCCCCCCCAGATGGAGATGTAGGCTTACGCCTTTCTCATGAACGCGTTCCTTCCTCCTCAGTCATTGAAGGAAGTGTATGTTATTGCTACGTTGTTCACTCTAGAGGAATTCAGACTTCGGAGGGATGGGGGGGGGGGTGTACACGCCCTGGGGACAAATTTCGCAGGCCTAGGCCTAACCCATGGATGGACCCTTAGGTCAATACTACTCTCATGCATACTCCTCAAAGGAAACGGGATAGAAAATAAATAGCTGTTGGCTTGCATACTACAAATACAGTTCGACATTGGCAGTACTTGCCCTAATGGGAATGACTCAGAAAGCTTATATCCAACCCTTGGACGATTGCTCAGGCCTACATTGACCTTTAATATTAGCCATCTTAGCGTTAAAGCTCTGAAGTGGCTTATGCTTTGGGATGCTGTGTGCAGAAAAATTCAGACTGGAAGTAAATGCCCTGGGGCACAAATTTCAAACGGAGATGTTTTCCAATAATTTGTTTGCATCAGTTAAACTGATGAACACGGAAACCTGAAACTTTGGAGGAATGTTACTACTGAGACATGGAGTTAAAGGAAAATGTTAGGTCTCGATACATCCCCTGGGGGAATTTTTTCGAGGAGCGATGTTTAAAAAAAAATGTTGTCGCGGCGAATTGGACAGAAATGGAAATCTGAAACTTAGCACACGTATAACTGACATGACATTACTAAGCTGAGGGAGTATTCAACTTTCATGGGGCATCCCCTCCGGGCATAGCTTTTGGGTGGGTCGGCTTTTCCAAGCATGTTTTTTCACCAGCAAAAAGGGCAAACGTATAATATTGAGACTTTGTTGGCACCGGGCAGACATAAAAGTAGCTGGCGCACCCATCACTGAAGTGATGTTGATTTAAGGAAAAATTCAACTTTTATTTATACGTCTCCTCAGAGCACAGCTTTTGGGTGGGTCGCGTTTCCAAATACATTTTCTTCCGCCAGCAAAAAGGGGAAACGTATAAGGGGAAACTGGATGGCATAGAGTTCCCTGAGTCTACATTTCAAAAGAAAAATATTTTTATTTAAAGCCCATTATACCACTTTTTTCAGTCCCATTTTCCTCATTTTTTTTATCCAGAGGCAGAAAATGTAAACGACTTTCAGAAGTACCTATTTGATGGCTGAGTAGAGGAAAAATCCTAATTTTGAAATATGTCTCCTTAGCGTCGATTATTGGAGGGAAGTATTTCAAAATGTATTCTCCATCCTTAGAAAAAGGGACACAAGGAAAGATTTCAGGTTAGGCACGCATATAATCATATAGGTAATTATTTTGATAAAAATCAAGACTTTCGACTCCATATGTCACGTATTTCAGTGGGGACGTACTTCAAATACGTGTTTGCCATTTCGAAAAGAATAAATGAAATAATCACTATCCAAGGTAATAGAGCGCCGACCATAGCGAGTTTGTTTGCCCGAAGGGCAAACAAACTCGCTAGTATTAATATATTGCACATGCGTCGCTCCACACATTCCAATGAATAACATTCAAAGGAATATGATGTCTCCACAGGGACAGTGGACGCCGGCTTCGGCTGCTGCCCCGTCTGCGGCGATTACGAGTGCAGCAACCACTGCCAGAGCGTCGGACGTGCAGGAGGCTACTGCGGCAATTGGCACAGATTCACCTGCATCTGCTACACTAAAAAGAAATGATTGCTTTTGCTTGCGTCACGGATCCGGAACCTAAGACCATGGAAAGACTGTCGCAAGAATCTGTTTCACTGCTTTTTCATTCCACCGACGTCGTCTCGTCGTGTTTGTCGCGCTTTTAACGACATACTCCTGACATTTGGAGGAAAAAAATTCCTTCTCTATTTCACTCCAATTTGAGGCTTCATTTGACCGAAATGGATGGCTCGGGCGAAGAGTCATTCCCATTCGATCGGGTGTCTTTCCAATAAAGTTCTTTCCTGCACGACATGTCTTGGTATGATCGTTGTTCCAAAGAAACTCATTTTTCTGGACAGTTGCAGGTTCACATCCGAACCCAGCAAC